CACAACCACCACCTCCACCATCAAAAATGATACATCCAGTTATTTGAAGGCCCATCTCCAGGTCCCCTTTCACCAGCTGCGTTCCTTCCTCTCCGAATCCAAAGACATTTCAGCATCCACCTCACCTGACAGTCACCTAACGTGACATTGCATCCAGAACACTCACTGGGTCTCTCAGGCAGAAGCGTGACTTTGTGAGGTCAAGGCTCACACAGAGGCACCTCTGACGCACCCCAATGCATCCTTGGCTAGGGACCCGGCATCTGTTGGTGGCCTCAAACTCACGGCACCCACTAGTACGACGGCTAGACAGACATGGTCTGAGCAACGTGAGGGGAGGCGCCCAGTGGCATGGCAGCTCCAGCCAAGAAGGCTGCCCACAGCACAGGGGCTCAGAATAGGCCCACACCAAGCCAAACTCACTGCCATCCAATCAGTGCTAACCCACAGCGACCCCCTGTGGGTTTCTGAGACTGTAACTGTGGACGGGAATAGAAAGCCTGGCCATTCTCCCACGGGGCTGCTGGTGGTTCTGAACTGATGACCAGGTGGATCGCAGCCCAATGCATAACCACTCCACCACCAGGGTTTCACTTGAGGACAAGCAGGGCTGGTCATTCCCAGGGCCTAGAGCGAGTGAAGGGAATCAGCACATCCAGGGACAACGTGGCAGTAGTAGTCTGTGGTATGACCATGAATGACAACCAGCCGAGTCAGGGTCAAGGCCACGGAGCACAATGAAAGCTCGCTCTCTCACTCTGGCCTGGGATCCCTGTTTCCTTTCCGTCATGTTTCAAGCAGGCCTAGCAAGTGTGAGGAGCGAGAAGTCAAGCACCACGCAGGACCAGTTATCCCTGCCCGGGCCTTTGACAATGGCGCTTAGCAAACGCGTAGGCAGGCTGTGCAGCCTGAGCCCCGCCACACTTTTTAAGCACCTTTTCCAAGATGCTCTGGGGCAATATGGCAGGCTGACCACACACCCTGAACTGGGATTGTCCTGTTTGTTAGCTAAGGCCCAGTTGGCCCCGCTCCTGGTGGCCCAGTACGCGTGGACATTGAGGGACTACCCAACCTGCAGAGGAAGCTGCTTGTAACTCTGGTGAGAGTGCCCCCTGGTGGCAGGATCCTGGACTGGGAATTCCTCCTCAGGCACACAAACAGATGAGGGGATATGCAGCCACGCTGTCTTGCTCCTGGGAAATCAATGCCCCAGAACTGCCTCGAGGTGTAGCCACAGGAACTCACCCGACTGAGTGAGTTCGGAGGTTAACAAACACAAACACTTCGCTACATGGTGAACGGCATTTATCTAAGTGGGAAACGGAAGATTCCAAGAGGATCTAACAGCCCCCGAGATGGCAGCGATCCGCCAGTTTCTTGGAATATGAGGATCTGCCTTTCTCTTTGGAACGTGGCCCCTGGTGGGAGGGTGAGAGACTGTCCCCCCAACGGGGTGGGTCAGAGACAGAGCTCTGGGCGGAAAGACTGCCGGCCTGGTCAGCAAATGGTCGTTAATTCCCGTCTACGCTTCTTGTAAGAGCGCCACAGGCGGTTTCTCCTTGTGTGCTACCTAGCACCACAGGAGTATGTGTGTGTGTGTGTGTGTGTGGGTGGGGGGTCTTCCCTCTCAGTGGCCTTGTGGAGTTGACAAGCAGCACTGTTGTTTTGGGTGGGTGCCGTCAAGTTATTTTCGACCTCTGGGGTCCTCCTGGGACAATGCACAGCCCACCAGCGCTTTGGGGGCTGGGGATGTTAGAGAATCAGACCACCACCTCCCTCCCTCCCCTGTGTTATCAGCCAAGTGCCCCACTAATGGCCTCACCAGATCTCCTTTCGGAAGCAGAACCAGGGTGGAAAGGAAGCTAGGAGGAAGATTCGCTCGGCTGCTAGGCTACTAGAGGGGACACAGCAGGGGGTGCACCCAAGTCCTCAAGACCACCTGTGGGTCCGCTTCTTCCACGAGGAGCCTCGCCCCGGTCTCGTCTGTCTCCAGTGCCTCCGCTGCAACACCTGGCAGTGGGCTTTGGGCTGTGCAGCTGGCAAACACCTGGCACACAGCAGGTGCTCCTCCTCTACAGGAGGGACACCTGGAGCCTGGGCAGCCTTCAGAAGCACCTCATGGGAGGCAAGTGGATACGCTGCGGCAGCCCTGGATAAACAGCACCACGTCCCAAGAGCAAGGTCAGGACGGAGGGGCCCGCCCTCAAGGCTCTGCTGCAGGGCTCACCTGCCAGGGCGCCCCTTTCTTGGAGAACAGCAGCAGTCTACCTTTGCAAGGTTACGTTCCACCAAGCACGCTCGGTTCAATTATACACAATGACTTGGGGCCTGTCACTCTTGTTGATGGTTCATGGGTGAGTGTGCGTGTGCTGGTTTGGCACCTCTGAGGCCACCGAGCATGGCATAGATCTGACAGGAGAGTGGGGGGTGTGAGGATCTGGGTCCCAGCCATCTGGCGAGAAAGGATGGAGGAGGTAAAGGAGTGAGTCCAAAAACATCTGGGTGGAACCTGCCAGACACAGAAGGGGCACTGAGATCTCCCAAAGGAGTGTGCGCGGGGGAGCAGGGGCTGTGTGGCTTCAACAGGGAGTGAGTGTGTTGGGGGCAGAGAGCGGGTGGACACGGGCTCGAGGAGCTAACAGAGTGAGGACACATAGGGTGTTTCAGGCGGACATCAAGACTTTGATTTTTATATGGAGCTAGATGGAAGTTCTGGGCAGGGAGCAGCAGGGTCTGATGTGGGGGGGAACAGTCTGCAGGGGCACAAGCAGAACCATCAGGAAGCCACTGGCACAATCCAGGCACAAGACGACGGAGACAAAGGCTAGATTCAAGCAGCCCTGCACAACAGCCTTCACGAAGCACAACCTTCTCACTGGAAGTTGGCTTTGGAGGTTGGTTCCCTCCCTCCCTCTCACTCTTCCTTCCCAACTTTCCAAATAACGACGAA